TCAGGGTGCCTCGTCATACTCCATCATGAACTCCAAGAGCATGCGCAGTCGCCTTTGGAAGTGATTGTTACGGCCCCTGTGCCCTGAATTGGGAGTTAGGGTTGAGGGTTTAGGGTTTAGGGTTTAGGGTTTAGGGTTTAGGGTTTGGGGTTTAGGGTTTAGGGTTTAGGGTTTGGGGTTTAGGGTTTGGGGTTTAGGGTTAGGGCTTGGGGTTTAGGGGTAGATCCCTCATAGACCATAGACTCCGATTGTGGAGTACACTGGCTCTTCACCCCTAGCTCCTGAATCCTGAACCTATGGGAGGGGGCTCGTTCTGAAAACCCTCACGTCTTGGCTGCACTTAGGAGGGTAGTTATAAATTAAACTTTTAGCTGCCTTATTCAGAAACCCAATAAACCCAAATAGGCTAAGGATCTGAAGTTGCAGTAAAGCACCACAAAGATATATACTCACGTGTTGTGTATGACGGCTTTTATGCCTTGCCCATGTCTGATCCCCATCAAAATCATTCAACCCCTAAGCCCTAAACCCCAAACCCTAAACTCTAAACCCCAAACCCTAAACCCCAAACCCTAAACCCTAAACCCTGCCGGGCCGTCCTCCGCGAATCCGCCGGTGGCCCCACCGGGAGAAGGGACCCCGCAGAGAGATGGGCAGCCGCGTAGTCAAAGACGTCCTGCTTACATCTGCTTACAGGGTCTGGGGCTGAGGGCTTCGGGTCCCTGAACCCCTAAACCCTAAAGCCTCAACCCTAAACCCTAAACCCTGAAGCCTAAATCCTAGGATTCAAGGGGGCTTTTATTGCCTAAGCCCAGTGGCACGTTAAGGGTAGTTCAGGGTTTGGGGCTTAACCTGGAGGGAAATAAACCGAAATTGGTGAGTAGTGGGCTAGGAAGGGCCAAGGTAAACCTTAACCCTACACACGAAACCTTACATGGACACCCGAACCCAAACCCTAAAGCCCAGCTGCGTTCGCGCCGAGGTAGCTTTTTGACGCAGTTCTTTGGGCTTCGACTTTTGAAGGAGGGGGGGGTCTCCGTAGGGTTTAGGGTTTAGGGTTTAGGGTTTAGGGTTTAGGGTTTAGGGTTTAGGGTTTAGGGTTTAGGGTTTAGGGTTTAGGGTTTAGGGTGTAGGGTTCAGGGTTTAGGGTTTCGGGTTCAGGGTTCCGGGTTTAGGGTTGAGGTTGAGGGTTGAGGGTTGAGGGTTTAGGGTTTAGGGTTTAGGGATGCCAGCCAACATCCTCAGAGAAGACGAAGCGGCTGACAAACGTGGCCGCTTCGGTACGCCGCTGTTCCTCGGAGATAAGACAGGATCTTCGAAAGCCATGAACCCCCCAGAAATCCAACCCTAAACCCTAAACCCTAAACCCTAAACCCTAAACCCTAAACCCTAAACCCGGCCTCTGGGGTTCGGCTTGAGGATTTGCGGTCTTGGGCTTCGGATTTCAGGTCTCGGGTTTGGGGGTTTTGGGGGTTTAGGGTTTAGGGTTTAGGGTTTAGGGTTTCGGGTTTAGGGTTTAGGGTTGAGGGTTTAGGGTTTGGGATTTAGGGTTTCGGGTTGAGGGTTTAGGTTTTAGGGAAAAAAAGGCTTGTGGAGGGTTAAGGCGTAGGCCTTTTTGGGAGGTTCCAGACAAGGCTCGTCCTTGTCCCAGACAAGGTCCACGATGGGGTCAAACTCGGCCTGTGCTTGGCTCTGGCTTTGAGGCTCTGTGCGCGCCTCACTTCAGCTAATTACCCTAAACCCAAAACCCTAAATCCTAAACTTGGGATGTTCCCTCTTATACTAACTGTTTCTTCATAGGGATTATAACAGGGGGTTACATAATCCCTACTAAGGACTGTTATACGCCCTAATCCCTATTGAGGACTGTTAGTATAAGGGGAACACCGTAATCCTAAATCCTAAACCTAAACTGCCTTACCCCCCTCAGCTTTCAAAAGCGAAAAATGCGCATCCCTAAACCCTCCCAACAGAAACCTCAGGTTAACCTCAGGTTAACCAGCCCAGGCCCCCCAAACCCCGCCAAACCCTCCCAAGCCCCCGGACACACAAACTGTCAACCCTAAACCCTAACCCCTCAACCTTGGACCTTGACCTTGAACCCCTAAACTCTAAACCCTGAACTCCCTAAACTCGCTAAACTCCCAAAACTCGCTAAACCTAAATTCCCTAAACTCCCTGACCTCCCTGAAATCCCTGAACTCCCCGATCCGTAAAACCCTAAACTCTCTAAACCCTAAACTCCCTAAACTCTAAACCCCAAACCCGCCTCGCCCAACTTCCCGAGCTCGGCCAGCACCACGGCGCAGCGCAGCGCCGCGGCGCTGGCGGCCGGATCCACGTCGTTGCAGCGCTTGAGGACCTGCGGGCCTCCGTTAGTTTAGGGGTTTTGGGGTTTGGGGTTTAGGGTTTAGGGTTTAGGGTTCAGGGTTCAGGGTTTAGGGGCTTAGGGGCTTAGGGTTTAGGGCTTGGAAATCTTAAGCCTCGGTCGTCGGGACTTTGAGGGTGGTCGGATTTCCGGCATCTCGGGGAAAGGATTCTGCCCTGGCGGTTCATTCCCCCGGGCTTCGGCTTGCAAGGATTGGTGTTTAGGGTGTAGGAAAACATCCTAACCCTAAACCCTAAACCCTGAACCCTAAACCCTAAACCCTAAACCCTAAGCCCTAAGCCCTAAGCCCTAAACCCTAAACCCTACACCCGCGACAAGTTCTGGGCGCCCAGCAGATGTCTGCCGCCAGAGCCCGGACCTGCCACAGCTTGCAACTGTGGGGGGTTCAGGTTTAAGGCCCCAGGGCTCTGGAGCCCCTAAGCCCTATAAACCCCAAACCCTAAACCCTAAACCCCCAAGCCCTATAAACCCCAAACCCTAAACCCTAAACCCTAAACCCTAAACCCTAAACCCTAAACCCTAAACCCTAAATTCATTTACAAGGGACTACATTCGGGCATCTTATTCTGGCCTAACAACCTACTGAAGATACCCCAAACTCACGCGCCGGCCTCCTCTCCCCCCGGGTCCGTGCGTAGCATGGCCGTGAGGGCCGTGAGCGCCGCCGCGCGCACCTGTCCGGGGGGTTGGGGCTCCGGCTTCAGGGTTTTAGGGTTTAGGGTTTAGGGTTTTAGGGTTTAGGGATTAGGGTTTAGGGATTCAGGGTGTAGGGATTTAGGGTTCAGGGTTTTCGGGTTTAAGGCTCAGGGTTGAGGATTTAGGGATCAGGGCCGATTAGGGTTTAGGGATTAAGGGTTTTAGGGGTCAGGATTCAGGCTTCGGGGTTTTAAGGCTCAGGGTTGAGGATTTAGGGATTTGGGTTTAGAGTTTAGAGGTTAGGGATTAGGGCTTAGGGGTTAGGATGTCGGTTTCGGGTTTAGGCTTTAGGGTTCAGGGTTGAATGAGGATGTCTAAGATGTAGGGTTGCAGGCTGAGGGGGTTTGGGCCTGGAGGGCAACGATTTAGGGCTTCCGATCCTCGGAGGCTTTTGAAGAGATTGTGGGAAGCAGCTGATGGCTGCTACCTCCAGATGCATGGCCTTCAGCAACCCCTAAACCTTAAACCCTGAACCCTAAACCCTGAACCCTAAACCCTAGACCCTAAACCCTTAAACCCTCAACCCTCAATTAAACCCTCAACCCCGAAGCACTCAACCCCTAGAACCCTTTTTCGAGTCGCCGTTGCCCGTAGGCTTGAGGGCTTAGGTGGTCTGAGGGTTTAGGGTTTAGGGTTTAGGGTTTAGGGTTTAGGATTTGGGGTTTAGGGCTTAGGGTTTAGGATTTGGGGTTTAGGGTTTAGAGTTTAGGGTTTAGGGTTTAGGGTTTGGGGTTTAGGGTTTAGGGTTTAGGGCTTATAACGCCCTGGGAGCTGGACCCCACACCCACAACCCAGAAAGCACGTGAAACACAACGCCGGCCTACTCGAAACCATGACCCCTAGTCATCATAATTCCACACTGTGCTCAGGGCTTTGGGGTTCATAGTTTAAGCGTTAGGGTTTAGGGTTTAGGGTTTAGGGTTTAGGGTTCAGGGTTTAGGGTTTAGGGTTTAGGGTTTAGGGTTTAGGGTTTAGGGTTTAGGGTTTAGGGTAACCATACTTGGGCTTCCAGGTTGGGCTCAGGGCTTGGGGGTTCAGATTTTAGGGTAATCTAGACCCAGGAGGAACCTAGGAATAAGAAGGGTACCCTTTTTGGTTTTTTAAGGGGATTAAAAGGGAACCCCAACTCCAAACAGAGGAAATAAGGGCCTACTCCGGGTCCTAGGAATCCGGAACAGCCCTGAACCCTAAACCCTAAACCCTAAACCCTTAGGGTAATCCGGAACTCGGTAATCCAGACCTTGGCATCTGGGTCGTTGGTCGCCAAGTGCAGGTGCTGCTTCCACATCGCCTCCCAGACGCTGCAGCAGAGGATCCTAGCCTACGGGTTTAGGGTTTAGGGTATCTAGGGTTTAGGGTTTAGGGTTTAGGGTTTAGGGTTTAGGGTTTGGGGTTTGGGGTTTGGGGTTTGGGGTTTGGGGTTTGGGGTTTGGGGTTTGGGGTTTGGGGTTTGGGGTTTGGGGTTTGGGGTTTGGGGTTTGGGGTTTGGGGTTTGGGGTTTGGGGTTTAGGGTAACCATACTTAGGGTTTAGGGTTTAGGGTACTTATTAGCCAACTATGACCGTACTTATAACCCACTTGTAAGCCCCTGAAGTGCCCTAATACGGTTTTTAGGCACAGTGATACGTACAGTTCTAGCTGGTTAATAAGTACCCTGAACCTCCCAGTCCAGGATCCTGGCCTACCTCCACCTTCCCCCCCGTCCTGGGTTTAGGGTTTAGGGTTTAGGGTTTAGGGTTTAGGGTTTAGGGTTTAGGGTTTAGGGTTTAGGTTTAGGGTTTAGGGTTTAGGGTTTAGGGTTTAAGGTTTAGGGTATTGGGTATTAGGGTTTAGGATTTAGGGTTTAGGGTACTACCTCAGCTGAAGCTTATTCGGGCCTGGCAAGTGGCAGTTCGCGCGGGCAAGAAGTACTCTTAACTGTGGAACAGTAAGCTGCGCGAATCAAGTCCTGACTTATCATCGGACCGACCTAAGCTGCTTTGAAAAACCTAGCGCCCGGCTGAGAAGCATGCGCAGCATCAAGGTTCTACAGTTGCTTGTCTCGAGGGTCCAGATGCTCATTGCCGCGCATCTGCGCAAAAAAATGCCAACCCTAATCGCACCCTGACACCCAAACGGAACGCTCGTGGTAACACTTTCGCCTGGCGAGCTGCTTGCGCATCAGCTTTGGTCCATCGGTCGAGGGCCTGAGTCCACAGAGAGGAGGCTGAACCGAGGCTTATGGGATTCATAGGATTGGGGTCTTCTGGAGCTTTTAGGGTGCAAAGCTGTTAAACCCTAAGCCAGAAAACTAAACCCAAAACCCCGAACTCGCGGCTTTAGGATACACGAATCGAGGTTTTGGCTCGGGGTCTTTCTGTTCTACGACACGCTAGGCTAAAGTCCAAAGTACAGTAAACTGCCAACCGGACTCTCCATGTTCCCCCATGCACCCCATGCGATTCGCCCTGCGTCTTGGCGGCAAACTCGATAAGCCGCAACCCTACAAATCATCCAAAGAAGGGGCCTAAACCCTAAACTGCAGCTTTTCATGCCTACTCGCTCTTCCACAGCTTTTAGTAGACAATCCCGCCAAGGGTTAAGGGGGGTTGTAAGGTATCGTTTTCCCGCATTCCCAAATAAGAAGTATCAAGTAGAACCCTAAACCCTAAACCCTCAACCTGAGCTTAAAGATTGAGCTTTTGGGAACCTTTTGAGGCTTAGGGCTCAGGCCACAGGCCATTAAAAGGGCCTCCCAAACCTAAACCCTAAACCCTAAACCCTAAACCCCATGGCACGTATAAGTAGGGCCTAACACGCCGAAGCCCTGAGCCTCAAAATCCGAACGGGTTGGGATCATCCACTGCATTTTCTACTGAAATACCTGTACGTTGATACACGCCCCTCAAGCCGTGATACCCTAAACCCTAAACCCTAAACCCTAAACCCTAAACCCTAAACCCTAAACCCTAAACCCTAAACCCTAAACCCTAAACCCTAAACCCTAAACCCTAAACCCTAAACCCTAAACCCTAAACCCTAACCCTAAAGCCCTAAAACCCTAAACCCTAAAACCCTAAACCCTAAAACCCTAAACCCTAAAGCCCTAAACCCGAGACCCCAAGCCCGAAACTACCCCAACAAGAAGGCCTCCACGCAGCTCTTGCGGATCTCTGGGTCGACATCCTCGCGGCTGGGGAGGGTTCAGGGCTTAGGGACGTCGGGGTTTAGGGCTTAGGGTTTTAGGGGTTTAGGGGTTTGGGGGTTTCGCGCTTTGAGTTTAGGGCTTCTTCTCTTCAGAGGGGGGTTGGCTCGGTATACATACCCCTAGTCCCACATAGTCGCAGCAGTGCCTAGTTCACAGCCCGCACAAACCCAAAACCCTGAACCAGTAAGCCTCTTTTGACAACAGCGTTTTCCGAATGAATCGCACACTGCGGGCCAACCCTAAACCCTAAACCCTAAACCCCAAACCCCCTAAACCCTAAACCCTAAACCCTAAACCCTAAACCCCTACCAAAGGCGCAGCGTGCTGCCGAGAACAGGGGTCCTTGCTTCGGTGCCTGAGCAACGCCTCGCCCAGGCCTTGGCTCAAAAAAGGAGTTGTTTTTTGGATTAGGGTTTAGGGTTTAGGGTTTAGGGTTTAGGGTTTAGGGTTTAGGGTTTAGGGTTTAGGGTTTAGGGTTTAGGGTTTAGGGTTTTGGGTTTTGGGTTTAGGGTTTAGGGTTCGGGATACCTGAGAGCAAAAAAAAGGCTCCTATGAAGGCTCCCAGACTGTGGTCTTCAGCCTTCTGATGTAGAGGACTGCGCGACTGGTTTCCACCGGCAGGGTACGGCGCAAGCTCTTGCAGATGTGCTGCTCACTGCTGGGCCGCGATAGGCACGGTTGCCCACAGCTTCCCACTACACAGGCAAGAGAAGCACAGGGCGGCGATAGGCACGGTTGCCCACGGCTGCCCACTATACAAGCAAGAGACCACTCACGTCGTTGTTGCAAAGCTTAGGGAAAGTTCGAGGCTGCAGCATCCGCATAACATGGGACTAGTTTCCTGAGGAACAAGGAACATGAACAGTGCGATTGCACGCTGCAACGGGTCCTAGGCAGCTAGCTTAGATCTGATGTGACCTCGTAGCACCGGGGATTCCTGCCCTTGCGCGAGTCGCGGGTGGACTGGCTCACTGCATCTGACGGCTTGTAGCGCCGGGTCATGCACAGGAATGTTCTGTTCACCTCCATCCAGTCTGCAAACTCCTCCGAAGAAGTTGCGTCAGAAGATTGCTCGGCGAGGTTCTCGGAGGAGGAGGCTGGGAGGTCGAACGACTCCATGGCATCTGGCTGCACCTTGCACTGTTTCCGCACGGGGAGCTGCGACTGGACCTGTTCAAGCAAGTGTCTGAGGCTGTCAGAGATGACCACGTGGCTAGCCTTCAATGGCTCGGCACGTCTTTCTAACTCCTGGAGGACACGAGCATACCTTACTTCTCCAATAACCAAGGGGAAAAAAGGTTAAACTTTATTATTCCTACTAAATAAGGGAACCCAAAAAGTTTACAGTTCAGCTGTTGGAGAAGTAAGATACTGGTGGGGCCACACGAAAACCTTGGCTCCGTGGTGCCGCCCCTCCAGCACCAAAGCGCGGCCTTCTTGAGCCATCTGCTCCCGGATAGTCTTCAACTCGGGTCCGGTCAACAGCTTCGAGACGAACTCCTTGGGGGTGGAGCTGAAGGGGATAATCCATACCTTCTCTTCTTCCGCCGCCTCCTGCTCCTCCTTCACTTGGGCTTCGAGGGCGGGGTCCTCGTGTTGGGACAGCGTCGAAGTCAGGATCCGCTCTACCACGCGGTCGGCCCAGTCATGCTCTGCTTGCTCGCGGAGAAGCTCGGGGTCGCGAACCGCAGGCACATCTGCGGCGTAGTGGGAGTGCTCCTCAGCTCTGATATCTAGTTACCCCTAGACATGCTGTGCACTGACCCAAAGATTATACTTATGTAAGCCCAGTACCTGCGCAACCGACACGGCGGCTGCCTCCTCTTCAATGATCGCTGCAGGATTCAACACTAGTCCTCCAGCATGGTGTTGCCAAGGACTGGGGCTTGGGACCGCCACGGGGCCCAATTTCGCCGGCAAACCGTATCCTTCGCGTAGTCGGCCAAGAGTCACAAGCTCACCATTGGGCTTCACTGCACAAGTCAGTCCATCTCCGGCTGCGACGGCGACAACTGGCCCAAGATCATCCGGCACATCGCATTCTCCCCACTGGTTTCTCCCGAAGCAGGCCAACTGTCCGTTTGCCTTAATGACGCAGGTGTGTGTATCTGAAGTTGCCACTGAGACAACTGGCCCCAGCCCTGGCGGCACGGGCCGTGGGAACCGAAAGAAGGAGAGAATATGCCCGAAGTGCCCGAAGCAGACGAGGTCTCCATTTGCCTTCACCGCGCATATGTGGTGAGAACCTGCAGCCACAGCAACTACTGGCCCCAAGTCTGGCGGCTTACGTTGCGGAACTCTTCCCCAGCACACCAGCTCACCATTCGACTTGATAGCACAAGTGAATTTGCTGCCAGCTGCAACTGCGATTGCTGGGCCTAGGTCCTTTGGCACACTGCAGCAGCCCTTGCAACCCCTGCCAAAACATACAACTCTGCCGTCCGCTTGCAGCACGCACGTGTGACTCATCCCGGCAGCAACACCTACTACTGGACCCAGGTGTGGTGGCACATTGCACGCAGAGGCTGCATACTCTGCGCCAAAGCACACAACTTCACCGTCTTCTTTCAACACACATGTGTGCATGTCTCCTTCTGCCACCGACACCACGGAGCCCAGAGTTGGCGGAACCCCACGGTACATCACCATGCGCATGTGTAAACGACAATCAAGCTCACCGTTCCTTTGGACTATGCTGACGCTGGACCCTCCAGCGTCCACGTTCACTTTTGGAGGAGTCCTCATGGACAACAGAGGCAGAACCACCGCGTCGAAAACCCATCTCAACTGCTGAACACATCCTTGCTTCAGCCGATCATGAAGAACCCAAGACAGGTGGTGCAGATCTTTCTCCAAAACATGGATGCCCCGACTTTTCATGAACACCCAATCTGCCATTGTCATTCTTCTGGCATGCCTGGTCCATGCACCCCACGTCTCCTGACGATCGAAAGGGCTTGTGTCCAAGCGTTCGGGGCTGGACGCCTTGGAAGCTGTAGGCAGCAGGAAACCGCGTCTAAATGTGCCTTGACGTTGTTGCTGAGATGAAAGACGTGGTTCCTTCTGTTCGGAGCCGGATGCCTGGGGAGCTATTGGCAGCAAGAAACCTCGTCTCAATGTGCCCTGACGTTGTTGCTTTTGGGATGACAGACTTGGTCCCTGTTGCTTGGAGCCGGATGCCTGGGGATGTGTGGACAGGAGGAAGCCGCGGCGCATGGCGACCAAGATTGCCTCAGCCTGCTACCTTGGGCACTGCACGCTGCGAATCTCATTCGCGCAGATCAAAACACCCTTGAGAGCCCTTAAGACCCTCAACGTTGCACCAAGAGGCACCCTCATCTTCATCGGCACCCCAAGGGGACTTCAACCCTGAACCCTAAAAACCCTAAAACCCTAAACCCCTAAACCCCTAAGCCCTAAACCCTAAACCCTAAACCCTAAACCCTAAACCCTAAACCCTAAACCCTAAACCCCTATGCCCTAAACCCTAGACCACAGGGTTTAGGGGGGTCTTCAGGGCCCCGGCTGTCACGAGCAGCCTCCAGGTTTCGCAAGCTCGACCTGCAACTCTTGAGCAGAGCTTTTGGGGGGGGGGGGGAGCGGCCTAGAGCCCTCGGTTTAGGGGGGCGCTTAGGAGGGTTTAGGAGGGTTTGGGGTGTAGCTTTGGGGGGCAGGTTTCGAGCCTCAGGTTTTGGCGGTTTAGGGTTTTGGGTTTGGGGTGCAAGGTTTGGGGTTTGGGGGGTTAAGGGTTTAGGGTTTTCAGAGAGCTTTAGGGGACATGAGAGGGCCGGAGTGCCCTGTATAGGCTGCCACGGCTTGGAGTCCGCCATGCAACCCATGCTCCATCCAGCAGGCAGCTGCCAAGAAGGCACCATTTTGTTGGCAACATCGGGAGTTTGAGACAACTTACGCCCCTCCCCGCCAAAAAGAGAAAACAAATGAGACACTGAACCACCGAGACGGCCTAGCCTAGCCTCCCAATTCTCCAGATCCTGCCGACACGGGTCTAGGCCAACCTGGGCTCCGAAACCTACCCTGAACCTGAGTTGAGGTTTGGGGCTCAGGGTGCTGAATCGTACTCCGGTCTTAGGGCTTCATCAGGGTTAGGGTTGAGGACTAAGGGCTAAGGGCTAAGGCTAAGGGTTTAGGGTTTAGGGTTTAGGGTTTAGGGTTTAGGGTTTAGGGCTTAGGGTTTAGGGTTTAGGGTTTAGGGTTTAGGGTTTAGGGTTTAGGGTTTAGGGTTTAGGGTTTAGGGTTTAGGGTTTAGGGTTTAGGGTTTAGGGTTTAGGGTTTAGGGTTTAGGGCTCAGGGGTTGGAGGTTTAGGGTTTACTTAGGGTTTAGGGTTTAGGGCCCCTGAAATCAACCCCAAACAGCGGGTGAAATCCTGACACACCCGAGGCGTGGCTTGCCTGGTGTGCTCCAGCTCCTCTTTGAGAGACCGCAGAGCAGCACCCTGCTGGGTTTAGTTTAGGGGTCCTGCTTTCGGGTTTACGGGTTTAGGGTCTCGGGTTTAGGGGTTTGGGGGCTTAGGGTTTAGGGTTTAGGGTTTAGGGTTTAGGGTTTAGGGTTTAGGGTTTAGGGCTTCGGGTTGAGGATTTCGGGTTTGGGACTTAGGATGCAGGAGGTGCAGGGGGGTGGGGATCCCGAGTCCCTAAACTCTTCCAAGCCCGGCGCAAAATTTGGCCACCTCAATGGCGACAATTAAGCGTGTGGAGTGGCCCAAACAAAAACCCCCCCTGGTTCTTCCCACCGAGTAGGGAATGAGGAAATGAGGGTCCTATATACTTCCTGTAAGGGACTAGATAGAGGCCTCATTCAAATCATTCGCTACTAAGAGCCAGCCAGAAAACATGGTTTAGGGTCTACATATTTTACATACTTGTTAAGTGCCTGTGCCAAGGATGCACTAAACCCAGACCCTGCAAGCCCAGCCTTTCCTTGGCAGCCGAGGAACCATATCATAACAAGGTGACCCTTTTTGTTTGGTTGGCTACTTTATACGGGAACCCTGAGCAAAAAGATTGAAAAAAAAAACGTACCACTGGGCTGCCAAGTTTAAGTTTTGCGGTTTCGAGGTTGGGGCTTGGGGTGGAGTGTCGGGCTTGACCCTGTATAGGTACCATTTTGCAACGAAATTTCGGCTAAAGAAAAGGGACTCTCAAGTTACAGAACAGGATCCACCCCGCCTAAGTACCGGTTTAGGGCTTCGGGTTTAGCGTTTAGGCTTTTGGGGCTTCGGGCTGAGAATTCCTTACACGCCTAAACCCGATTTTTCAGGGGATTCTTCCATACTCGGCGCTCCACCTTGCCCGCAGAGGCTTGCGGGGTTATGGAGGCTAAACTTTCATCCCAAACCCTTAAAACTAAGACCCCTACACACCCTTGAAGCCCTAGAGCCCCGAAAGACCAAGACTCCCCAACTCCACACCCCTCAAAGTCTGAAGCATCAACTCCGCACGCTCTGCCCTCAACCCTAAACCCTACATGGAGGCTCATGGTACATATGAACCAATTATCACTGGTACTGTTGACTGTGCTCATAGCCATATTAGGGCACCTAAGGGCCTGATGGGTGGCTTATTAAACTGGTTAATAAGTACCATGAACGACCAAGTAAACTCTAAACCCTCAACCCAACAAATCGACCCTAAGCTAGGATTTGGGGCTGCGGAATTCGGAATCGCCTTCACATCCTTGACCCGCGTCTCGGCTGTCTTCACCCAGTCTTGTTGGTGGTTGCACCTCTTGCTGACAAGGGTTTAGGCATTAGGGTTTGGGGTTTGGGGTTTGGGGTTTAGGGGGTAGGGTTTAGGGTTGAGGGCTTAGGGCTTAGGGCTTAGGGCTTAGGGCTTAGGGCTTAGAGCTTAGGGCTTAGGGCTTAGGGCTTAGGGCTTAGGGCTTAGGGCTTAGGGCTTAGGGCTTAGGGCTTAGGGCTTAGGGCTTCCTACCCAAACCCTGAACCCTGAAGCCTGAACCCTGAACCGTTGGCCCGACACTTTAGAGCCCCAAGAGCCTAGCCTAAACCCTAAAAACTCAAGCCCTGAACCCTGAACCCTGAACCCTGAACCTTGAACCCTGAACCCTGAAGCGCAACCCTAAACCCTAAACCCCAAACCCTAAAAGCTCAATCCCTGAACCTAGATCCGAAAACTTGGTGCAGCATTGAACATCTAGGCGGCCCGGCAGGGGAATTAGCCTGTTCTCCTAAACCCAGTGAACCCTAAACCCGAAGCCCTGACCCCTAAAGCCCAAAAGCCCCAAAGCCCCAAAGCCCCAAAATCCACAAAAGCCCCAAAAGCCCCAAAAGCCCCAAAGGCCCAAAGCACCAAAGCCCTAAACCCTACACCCTAAACCCTAAACCCTAAACCCCAAACCCTAAACCCTAAACCCGCCAGAGGCGCTGCTCATTGATTCCCTCGACCAGCGCCAGGCCGGCCACGGCCGCCGCGTGGCGGATACTGCGAAACTGACCTTCTGGGTTAATTTAGGGTTCGGGGTTTTCGAGCTGACGTGGCACGGCTTGGGCTCGAGGACGACAAAGCTTGAGAAGGCTCTGGGCCCTAAAGACTGTCCGAGGTTTTAGGGTTCAGGGTTTAGGGTTTAGGGTTCAGGGTTCAGGGTTCGGGGTTCAGGGTTGAAGGCTTAGGGTTTGGGATGTTCATGGTGTTGGGTTCGTTCTTTGTTTAGGGCGTTTCAGGGGGTTCAGGTCCTTCTTCAGCTTCCAAGAGCCTGGACCTCAAGTAGGTACTCCTGCTACTAGGTTTTGGGTTTAGGGGTTTAGGTTTTAGGATTTTAGGATTTAGGGTTTAGGGTTTAGGGTTTGGGGTTTAGGGTCTAGGGTTTAGGGTTTAGGGTTTAGGTTTAGGGTTGGGGCTCAAGGTTTACAGGTCTAGGTAGGGCTAGGGCCCTTGGTCCTTAAAGTAGGTTTTAGGCTTTTTGGGTTTGGGGTTGAGGCTTGGGTTCGGGGGCGTGCAACATGGTGTGAAGCAGGTGAGCTGCGCCCATCTGCGTCAGCAAAGTACGTAGACCCCCACTCAAAGCTACCCACGAACCTTCTAGGACACGGGTCTTCTCCACCCTAAACCTTAAACCCTGAATCCGAAGCCCCTAAACCCTAAACCCTAAGCCCTAAACCCTAAACCTTAAACCCTGAACCTGTAGCCCTCAAGCCAAGCGGCAGCTTTACGTTGAGGGCTTCTTTGTCGTTAGGGGCTGGGATCCGCAACCAGGTCTGCCCCTAAGGACTTGAAGCCACAGATTCCTACGATAAGCGTTGAACACGCGACCGCTGTCAGTTCTAGCAAGTGCCAAATATTATGAGATTACTCAAAATTTTCCCTTGTGGTCCCTAGGCGACCTTGAACCCAAAATCTGAGTTTAGCGCCAGCTTAGCGCTCAGGAATTGGGGTTTGGAGGTTCATGGTACTTATTAACCCAGTAAAACTGTGCTTATAACTGTACTTATAGCCTTATTCGGGCACTTAAAAGGGGCTTCAGTTACAGTTGTTGAATACGTACCATGAACCTCCAAGTGGAGTGGGGGATCTCACTGAGACCGGTGATTGGCCGCTGGGGTCACATCGCTGGGTCGCAGGCACTCGGCAAATGCCAGTGTCCAAGCCTTCGGGGGCAACTGCGGGTTGTTCCCTAAACCCGAAACCCTAAACCCTAAACCCAGGTCCCCCTGAGCCACAAAGACGGAACCCCCGAAAAGAACAACCCCGAAGCCTGAACCCCGAACCCCACTTTAGCCAGGATGGCCCTCCCTTTGCAAAATAGGGTTTAAGGTTTAGGGTTCCTGAATGTCATCCTCTTAAACCCAAAAAGAAAAAAAAAAAAAAAAAAAAAAAAAAAACGTCCCAAGGGCCTACCGAGTTAGGTGACAAGGGACCGGAATCTCAGGTGTTGGGAAGACCCTAAGCCATAACCCTGAACGACGGATTTCGGGCTTGGCTGCTTGTAAGTTAGGGCCCCTTCACCACTTGTGGAACAAGCATTGTCCTCAGTTGTGATTGACATGAGGGTGGTGTGGGCATCCGGCTGAGGATTTCGGCTAGTAACGGCTAGTACTGCATGGAGCCACTAAGCCCTAAAGTCCTATATGACCATAAACCCCAAACCCTGAGCCCTCAACCCAAACCCTTCCTTAAAGACCCCAGCCACAGCCTAAGCAGGGTCTCAGCGATTTTTGGGGCTTAGGAGCTCCGTTGCCTCCCTCAAAACTTGCTTAAGACAAAACAGCTCCAGTTTTGCTGTGGCCTTGGTGAGGTTACCATGAGGGGGGGTGGGGGCAGAGAGAAGGGGGCACTACACTGGTTGGACTCTTCTAGGGCCCAAATTGCCCCTAAACCCGAACGACTTCGAGCCCCTTGCTTGGTTTCCGGGGTTCATGGTTTGGGGTTAGGGTTTAGGGCAAGTTTAGGGTTTAGGGTTTAGGGTTTAGGGTTTAGGGTTTAGGGTTTAGGGTTTAGGGTTTAGGGTTTAGGGTTTAGGGTTTAGGGTTTAGGGTTTAGGGTTTAGGGTTTAGGGTTTAGGGCTCAGGCCCAAGGCCCTGGCCCTGAGCAGCTGCAGCAAATTCCCCAGCAGGGCATCGACGGGAGGCGCCAAGACCAGCTCCCGCCAGATGTTGGGATAGTTCTCGCGAACCCTGGCAGGATTTAGGGTTTAGGGTTTAGGGTTTAGGGTTTAGGGTTTAGGGTTTAGGGGTTTAGGGTTTAGGGTTTAGGGTTTAAGTTTGATAGTTCTCGCGAACCCTGGCCGGATTTCGGATTGAGGGGTTTGTACTTAGGGGTTTTGGTTTGAGGGCTTAGAGTTTTTCGTGTAGGGTTTAGACCTCAAGCCCTAAACGCTCCCTGGCAGGATGAGGGATTTAGGGATTTAGGGATTTAGGGTTTAGGGCTTAAGGTTTAGGGTTTAGGGTTTTTGGGTTTAGACCTTGTAAGCCTTACATGTTCTCACGCACCTTGGGAGTGTAGGAGAGTGTAGGGATTGGGAGAGTTCTGGTATGGGTTGAAGGGTTGAGGGCTACGAACGAAGAAGATATTCCTTCGGAACCCCCCCCTTGCCCCCCGCCCCACCAGGGATTGCGTGAGGGGGGGGGGGGGGTGGGGGGAGGGAGGGAGGGCTGGATTCTCTAACATTGGGCCCTCAGGGCAAAGTCTGCGAACGGGGAGAAAGAAGACATGGTTTAGGGCAGTTTAGGGAACCCTAAACCCTAAACCCTAAACCCTGAACCCTGAACCCTGAACCCTGAACCCTAAACCCTAACCCCCCCTCCCCCCCCACCCGACCCGGGGATTCTCTGAAAATAGGCACTCCGGGCAAAATCTACGAGGGGAGGGAAAAAGACATGGTTTAGGGTGTTTAGGGTTTAGGGTTTAGGGTTCAGGGTTTAGGGTTTAGGGTTCAGGGTTCAGGGTTCAGGGTTCAGGGTTCAGGGTTTAGGGTTTAGGGTTTAGGGTTTAGGGTTTAGGGTTTAGGGTTTAGGGTTTAGGGTTTCGGGGTCCCCTACATGGGGACTGTAGGGCAGGGGATGAGGATGTCGGTGTCTGAAACATGGCAACTGGAGGGCCTCGCATGCAAAGCTTGGGGTTTAGGCTCTTGGCTTCCATGTACCTATAGCCTAGGGCTTAGGGATTAGAATTTGGGGTTTAGGGTTTAGGGTTTAGGGTTTAGGGTTTAGGGATTAGAATTTGGGGTTTAGGGTTTAGAGGGTTCAGGGTTTAGGGCTTGGGGTTGTCGAGCCCCAGATCTTCAACAGAAACCTTGGAGCTTCACAGAATACCTTTGCCGTGAACACCTGAAGCCCTCAAACCCTGAACCCGCAAAGCCAAAACCCTACGGCCCTTCTTTGAGCCAGAAGCTCTGCAACGCGATGAGGCCGTCACCCTCATACCCTAAGCCCCCAATTCCCCAATACCCCCATACCCGCTAGTACCCAAGTGCCAGCATACCCTTTTTCCCAACCCTAAACCCTAAACCCTGAAACCTGATACTTGAAACCTGCAACCTAAACCCCTCCTACCCTCCCTAAACCCTAAAGCCTAAACCCTAAACCCTAAACCCTAAACCCTAAACACGGACATGTCGCAGCCTCTGCGCACCCTTCTCACGTGACACGAGCCAGTGCTGTGTGAAGTCCGCCCCTGTCACACCGCGGATTCTGGGGGATTTGGGCTCCTAAACCCTAGTTAAATATAAAATAACATACTTAATGTCTATCTATATATATATATATCATGTGTATACATATACACACATATATATATATATGTATATATATATATATATATATAGAGTATACCCTAAACGCCATCAAACCTTCAAAACCTCAAAATACTCAAATCTAAAACCCTGAAAACCAGACAACCCTAAAACCCTCGAACAATCACGGCAAAACCCTAAAAAATTCAGACCCCGAAGCCCTAAAACCTTATGACCCGACAACCCTGAAACCCTCAAACCCCCTAAACCCTCAACCCTAGAACCCTCAAACCCTAGACACCCACACCCCAAACCCTAAACCCCTAACCCCTGAACCCTGAACCCTAAACCCTAACCCCAGAACCCTAGCTCTAAGCCCTAAACTCTGAACCTTAAACCCTAAACCCTAAACCCTAAACCCCAAACCCTAAACCCTAAACCCCAAACCCTAAACCCTAAACCCTAAACCCCAAACCCTAAACCCTAAACTGAAGCTCTAGAAGGCCCAGGACACCTCGCTCCGTGGTCTCCAGGGCCAGGCTCGCGGTGAGCTCCGTGACCACCTCGTTCGGCTCTCGGTCCTGGTTGAGGGTTTAGGGTTTAGGGTTTAGGGTTTAGGGTTTAGGGTTTAGGGTTTAGGGTTTAGGGTTTAGGGTTTAGGGTTTAGGGTTTAGGGTTTAGGGTTTAGGGTTTAGGGTTTAGGGTTTAGGGCCCTTGGGTTGTATAGGGTATATAGGGTTTAGGGCCTTTCGGGTTTAGGGCTGAGGGTTGAGTCGGTTTGCTTAGGGTTTTGAGGGACTTGAGGTTTTGTGGAGGTTGTTTGGGGTTTAGGTTTAGGTTTAGGTTTAGGTTTAGGTTTAGGGTTTTGAGGGGTTTGGGTCGTGGGGTTGGGGCTGTTTTTGGGCCGAGGGTTGGAGAGGTTAGGGTTTAGGGCTTCGGGCTTAGGGCTTAGGGCTTCGGGCTTCGGGCTTCGGGCTTCGGGCTTCGGGCTTCGGGCTTAGGGCTTAGGGCTTAGCGCATAGGGCGTAGGGCGTGGGGCTTTGGGCTTAGGGCTGAAGGCTTAGGGCTGAGGGCTGAGGGCTGAGGGCTGAGGGTTGAGGGCTGAGGGCTGAGGGCTTACGGCTTAGGGCTTAGGGCTTAGGGCTGAGGGTTTGGTAACCCTTCGGCTTGCTACTCGTTTCCATCTCGATCGGTCGGTGCTCCAGCAATTCGCCACAGCCTGCTTTCGCCAGCTTTGGGCGACGCAGCTGGAGGTTTAGCACTTAGGGGTTTAGGGCTTAAGGGTGCAGGGGGTTGAAGGTTTGGGGCAAGGGGTTTAGACTCAGGGGAGTAGGCTTAGGGGCTTAGGGTTGTGGGGCCCCTTGGGTTTTAGGATAAACCCAGCTGCCTTCAGCACCCCAACCCCAATTAAGCCGCAAACCCCGAAACCCTTGCTCCTGGAGATCTTCTTTCACCACTGTGGTCTGCGATGGCAGATCTGCAACAACCTGAGGTCAGAACTTCAGAACATAGGCTGCCCCCCAAACCCTCCAAAAAAAGCCTCCGAAACCCTGAGCCCCAATCCTTACCCGTATTTTATACCCTAAACCCTGAAGCCTGAACGCCGGGCCAAGAACCCCAAAACCCACAAAGTCTCAAAAACTCTATGGGCTTTGCCTTAAGGACCCAAGCCCTGACCGCGACCACCTTACCCCAACAGTTCTGCTCCAAAGAGATTCTTGGGTTGGGCACTAAAAAGCATCCCTAGGGTTAGAGGGTTTAGGGTTTAGGGTTTAGGGTTTAGGGTTTAGGGTTTAGGGTTTAGGGTTTAGGGTTTAGGGTTTAGGGTTTAGGATATAGGGTTTAGGGACTCTAGTGAAAGATAATGAGTGCGAATTCTCAAGTGTCAAACCTCTACGCGCATGAAAATGATGATTTAGATTTTTTGGACCAACAACCAACCGATCAACTAAGAGAAGCTTGAATAAAAATGTGAATTCAAGCCAGACTCTACAACCCTAAACCCTAAACCCTAAACCCTAAACCCTAAACCCTAAACCCTAAACCCTAAACCCTAAACCCTAAACCCTAAACCCTAAACCCTAAACCAACCCGCACAAAGCACAAAGCACTGCAGAAAGCCCCGGGGCCAAGATCAGCTGCACCAGCTCCGCTAGGGCCGCGTGGCGGTCCGCGGCAAATCGGTCAAGCCAGGTGCTGGCGACCTGGGGGTTGAGGTTTAGGGTTTGGGGTTTGGGGTTTAGGGTTTGGGGTTCAGGGTTTAGGGTTTAGGGTTTGGGGTTTGGGGTTTGGGGTTTAGGGTTTAGGGTTTAGGGTTTAGGGTTTAGGGTTTAGGGTTTAGGGTTTAGGGCTTAGGGCTTAGGGCTTAGGGTTTAGGGTTTAGGGTTTCGGGTTTGGGGTTTAGGGTTTAGGGTTCAGGGTTTAGGGTTTGGGGCTTAGGGTTAGGGTTGAGGCCTTATAGCGTTCATAGGGTTTATAGGGCTTGAAGGGTTCATCGGGCTTATAGGGTTTATCGGGTTCATAGGGCTCAAAGGGTTTACAGGGTTTATGGGGTTTATAGGGTTCACCTAGGGCCTGGAGGGTTTGTAGGGTTCATAGGATTTATAAGGGGGGGCTTAGGGTGTTGTAGGGCTGGATTGAAGACCCTAAGCCCTAAACTTGTAGATCCTATAGCTATGTTGCTCCACTTATTCCCTAAACCCTAAACTCTAAACCCTAAACCCTAAACCCTAAACCCCAAACCCCAAACCCCAAACCCCAAACCCCAAACCCCAAACCCCAAACCCCAAACCCCAAAACCCCAACCCCAAACCCTAAACCCTAAACCCTAAACCCTAAACCCTAAACCCTAAACCCTAAACCCCAAACCTCCCCCCGCCTTGCGCAGGTCTGGCGTCTTGGCACGCAGGGCCCTGACAAGCGGCGCCTCCCGGTTGGGACGGTTTAGGGTTTAGGGTTTAGGGTTTAGGGTTTAGGGTTTAGGGTTTAGGGTTTAGGGTTTAGGGTTTAGGGTTTAGGGTTTAGGGTTTAGGGTTTAGGTTTGGGGTTTGGGGTTTGGGGTTTAGGGTTTAGGGTTTAGGGTTTAGGGTTTAGGGTTTAGGGTTTAGGGTTTAGGGTTTAGGGTTTGGGCTTTAGGCTTTAGGGTTTAGGGTTTAGGGTTTAGGGTTTAGGGTTTGGGGTTTGGGGTTTAGGGTTTGGGGTTTAGGGTTTAGGGTTTGGGGTTTGGGGTTTGGGGCTTGGGGATTGGGGTTTGAGGCATAGCCTCAGGCCCTAAACAACTAAATGTCCTAGACTCCTTCATCACTCCCCTGAACTGAACCCCCTGAATCCTGCCGGGGGGGTGTTGGCTTTACTCCCTGAACCCCGCGGCAAGCCTTCTGACCGAGAAAGGAACTGGGGCCAAAGGCGCCACGAGACCGAAAACTGTGAACCGTGAGCCCAAACCCGCCCTAAACCCAAACCGCCCCCCCCCCCCCCCCCGGCCAAAGCAAAAAACTGGCACAAACCTGCAGTCTCTACCCCCCACACTTCCCCGGATCCTAAACCCCAAGCCCAAAAGAAGAGCTAACCTGAAGCCCCCAAAGTCACGCCGGAATCCAGAGCGCCTTGCCCGATGGGCCCCCACCGGGGAGTCGGCCCCTGGGTACTGTGCAGGATTGCGGGTTGGGCTTGTTGGGGGTTCGAGGTGCCCTAAACCCTAAACCCTAAACCCTAAACCCTAAACCCTAAACCCTAAACCCCAAACCCCAAACCCCAAACCCTAAACCCTTTAAGACCCTACATCCCAGCTCTCTGAGGCTCTAGCAGGCCCTCGGCACTCTCCTGGGTGGGAACTGCGGTGTTGCGGACCATGGCCTCAGCAACATTCCCAGACGAGCTCCATAGCTGCAGTTCAGGGTTTCGGGTTTAAGGGTTAAGGATTTAGGGGTTAGGGTTTAGGGTTTAGTGTTTAGGGTTTAGGGTTTAAAGCTGAGGGGGTTTTAGGGTTTAGGGTCCAGGGCTTAGGCTTGGAAGGTGTTGGGTGTAAGGTCTCGGGCCTAAGGTTCTGGCCGCTTTCGGGCTTAGGGTTTTGGTGCTTAAAATTCCCGCGATTCCTCGAAGTACTGAAAGCAAGCGGACCCTTAAAGCCTCAAACCCCTGAAAAGCTCAGCTCATCTGCCTGGTTCTTAGTATGGAATGAGGGAATGAGTAATTACCTTATATAATCCCGTAAGGGTATACGTAAGGCCCGAATTCCCTCCCAACTAAGAACCAGGGGGGGCCATTGGACCCCCAATGCAATAGGCTTTGCATCGCAGGGAGGTTGACAAGCGCCCCAGAATCCCTAAAAACAGACTCCCACCTGCCGCCCACAGCCCTGCAATCCAAGAAAATTTAGGGTCTTGAGGGCCTCGAATTTAGAGACCTGCCTACTTGGCACATACATCTGCATCTTCAGCTCGTTGGACGAAGTTTTGATGCATCAGCCCTGTCTTGGGGGGGCAAGGTTTGATGAATTATGCCGCGCGCACGGGCCCGTGGTCTCACATGTAAGGAGGCAGCAGGTCACTAGCAAACTTCTGGAAACGTCTTTGCGAAGAACGTTTGCCTTTCATTTCTTACGGATTTGTTTCTCTTGGGGGCAAGGGCAGGATTTGGGGGGATTCATTGTGCATGAGGGGGCACCTTGGGCTGATGCCATGTACTTGGCGATGCGGCAAAAATGGGGGTTTACGAAAAGGGACCCCTAATATAGACCCCCAAATCGTAGGATCCCCTTGTAATAAGGACCCCCAATGAGGCACCCCCTAATATCGTAAACCCCCAAGAATGTGCCTCACTCTCTGCTGTCGAAATCGCGTTGTTTAGGATCCTCCTTACGCGAGGTCAATGTCACATGAACTCTCACATGCACAAGCATAACAATCGCAGATTGCGGCGCGCCCCAGCGATGAGACCGTGGGTCGCTGTCCGTCTTCTACAGAATTGGTGATCAAGCCATGACGTGCTGGGCAGGTAGGGCCCTTGGGGTCTTGGGGGCTTGCCTTACATGTGACTCCAGACCGAGCACAACCTCACCCAAAAATCTGCTTCGAACGGTTTAGATTCTCAGGCCTTGAGAAGCCACTTTCTCTGAGCCTTAACGCCGGAGCTTGCATCCCAAACAGGTCTTCGATCCCTGAAGGCCCCCGCTGTGAGGGTTAGGCCTGAGCTCCCTTCCAACTTCGTTCCAAACCCAGGACCAGAAACCTGAGGCGAATCTCGCGGAAGTTCCAAATCTGGCCTGCAGCGTCCACCCCGAACCCACACCCAAACACGCAAGCCGAAAAACAGACACTGTAAACCTAGCCATGCAACCTCAACCCGAAACCCTTATAGAACCCAAGAGCCCTTCCACGCGTAACCTATCCACCGAGGCCCAACTTAGTCACCTAGTCCTCCCCACTCCAAGTCACGTCGTTGTCCCAAGGGCCAAGGCGGCCAAAAACCTAAACCCTAGTCCCTAATCCCTAAACCCTAAACCCTAAACCCCCTTTTTAGTGCTAAGGGAAGCCTCTTCGTCCAAGACTTGTCTTACCTCTGGACCCCTTGCCATTTGCCCATGCAAAAGCTCCGTGTCTTCCAGGTCCTAAACCCGGAACCCTAGACCCTAGACCCCAAGCCCTAAACCCTAAACCCCAAACCCTTCCACCTCTCAACCTCTCAGGGCCTTGCCCTGCGAGCGCCCGAAACCCTAAGCCCTAAACCCTAAACCCTAAACCCCAAACCCTAAACCCTAAGCCCTAAGCCCTAAGCCCTAAACCCTACACCCCGAAGCCCTGCAAGGGCAACTCCGATCAGCCCTGCTATGAGCCCACGCCCACCCTCCTAACAAGAAAGGGTTCAGGGTTTAGGGTTTAGGGTTTAGGGTTTAGGGTTTAGGGTTTAGGGTTTAGGGTTTAGGGTTTAGGGTTTAGGGGTTAGGGTTTCGGGTTTAGGGTCTAGGGTTTGGGGTTTAGGGTTTTTTGGGTGTGGGGTCTAGGGTTGTAGGGCATGGGGCCTCGGGTTGAATCGAAACTTGGCCCCCCCGCAGAGGCGGTGGACGACAGCGCGTCTCCGCAATGATAAGCGAGGGTGGGGGGCTAGGATCTCTTCCCTGCTTCTGAGCCCGTCGGTTTTTGAACGGGTTTGAGGGAGCGCACTGAAACCGGAAACCCTTTGCACCCTTCAGCCCGGATCCCCAAAAACCACTGCGTACCCTAAACCCCCAAACCCTGAACATTGAACTCAGGGTTTGCGCCGCCATGTTGGTACATCCCAGGCAGAGGGCTGATGGGTAGCATGCGGAGTTTAGGGCTTAGCTTGAAATTTCGAGTCTTGCTACTGGAGGGCTTCTGAAGCCCTACTCTTAGGAGCACTACACCCTAAACCCTCAACCTAAACATGGGAAAATTGCAAGACTCCGTTGTGCGGCTACAAGTCTTGCATTGCCTACAGCATGATTCATTCAGTTCCCTACAACCTTGAGAAATACACCCTAGACCCCCAAACTCCCCGTCTGAACAACACAGTCCCGGCGAAACTCCCCGGACCGAAAACCAACCCGGACCCCAACCCCGACCACAACACCGGTAAACCTTAAGCCCTAGGGTTTAGGGTTTGGGGTTTAAACCCTAAACCCTATATAGACCCGAAACCCTAAACCCTAAACCCCAAACCCGAAAGCCCTACATCCCCTACAGCCCGAATAGGGCCTCACAAGAACCAGAGCCCTGGAGGTGGACCACGTGGACCACAAGAACCCTCGATATTCTGTCTGAACACAAGGGATCCAGGTTTCGCAGGTTTAGGGTTGAGGGCTTAGGGTAGTTCTCTACATGAGCGCCCGTTTTAGTTCCTATTATCATATATAGGACCCAAAAAGGGACCAATTTAGAGAACTACCCCTGTACACTCCCCAGCGCTTTCTCCTGAAAGTTTTGGGCCTTTGATCCATTCCTACCTCCCACCCACCCAGCCACCCACCCACCCACCCACCCACCACGGCAGTTCTCAAAATGTAGGTCGTTTTTGGCGCAGCCCAGAGTGAAGGCACGCCTATTCCGAGAGGAACCCCAGCAGCATGTTTAACACCCCAAAGCCCCCCAAAACCCCCAAACCCCAAAAACCCAAAAAAGGTCTTGGGGAGTCTAGTGCTGGGGCTCAGGGTGTAGGGGCTTAGGGTTGAGGCCCAGGGTTCAGCAAACTAGGGATTGGCGTTTGGGATGCTTGTAGTCCTAAACCCGAGACCCTGAACTCTCCTAAACCCTAAACCGTCCTAAACCCTAAACCCTAAACCGCAAGCCCTAAACCCTAAACCCTGAACCGCAAACCCTAAACCCTGAACCCTAAACCCCAAACCCTAAACCCTAAACCCTAAACCCCAAAACCTAAACCCTAAACCCTAAACTCTGCTCACTGAGAGAACGTGGACCCCGAGGCTTGGGCTCGCGGAGCTGCGCCGAGGTGCTGTGGATGCGCTGGAGGGAGCCTGGTTTAGGGCTTAGGGCTTAGGGCTTAGGGTTTAGGGTTTAGGGTTTAGGGTTTAGGGTTTAGGGTTTAGGGTTTAGGGTTTTAGGGTTTAGGGTTTAAGGTTTAGGGTTTGGGGTTTGGGGTTTGGGGTTTGGGGTTTGGGGTTTGGGGTTTGGGGTTTGGGGTTTGGGGTTTGGGGTTTGGGGTTTGGAGGTTAGGCGGTTTGTGGGGTTGAGGGAGTTCAGGGAGTTCAGGGAGTTCAGGGTTTGGGGGGATTGGGGGGGGGGGGGGGGGGGGTCAGGGTTCTGGCCTTTGAGACCCGAAAGCCCCCAAAACCTGGAGGCGTTCCTTCCTAAACCCTAAAAGCCCCAACCCTGTCTCCCCAAATCCAAACCCCAAACCCCAGACCCTAAACCCCTCAAACCCTCCAACAAGATCCCAATACCCCAGAACCCCAGAACCCAAACACCCTAAACCCTACACCCCAAACCCCAAACCGTAAACCCCAAACACTAAACCCTAAACCCTGAACCCTAAACCCTAAGCCCTAAACCCCTGAGCCTAAACCCTAACCCCAAAACCCCAAAACCCCAAATCCGCAAAACCCCAGAAACCCCAAAACCCACCAAACCCCAAAACCCCAAAACCCCAAAACCCATAACCCCAAACCCCCAAAACCCCAAAACCCCAAAATCCCAAAACCCCAACATCCCTAAAACCTAAATCCTAAACCCCAATACCCCCAAAACCCCAAACACTAAACCCCAAACCTCTACACCCCTGAACCCTAAGTAGCCCCCCCCCCCCCCATCCCCGCAATCGCCCTAAACC